GGCTGGGGGGGGCTTTGAACAACCTGGTCTGGTGGAAGGTGTCCCTGCTCATGGCAGGGGGGTTGGAACTGGATGGTATTTAAGGTCCCCTCCAACCAAACCATTCTATGATTCTATGAAATGTATTGTAGTTACAAGAAACTAGAATCTGAATGCAAGCACTTCAAGTGCAAAGGAATATTTAAAATCCTAAATCCAGTTGCTTCACCGTTGCTGGAAACATTTTCAATGGTGATCAGTGGATCAAGGAATAAAAATGTAACTTTGCCACCCTCCCAGCTTCATCTAACACTGTCACCTTTGGTGATGCGCTCCCCAGCTTTCTGTTACTGTAAGGCATGCAAGAATCATTTGATAATCTTGGGATGCAAGCTATAAAAATAGCTGTAGTCTTTGGGCCTTTATCTGTAGCTTCTGTGAGCCAATCTCATCTTAATAGTAAACAGGAAGCCCTTTGCAAACATAGCAAGGAAAAAAAACCTTTGCTAGTAGACATCTGTGCTGTCCAGCCATATAAATCATTGATAAAAGTGAAGTTGTTCGTCCAGTGGTGTATTTTTTCTACTGTTCATGCACTATACTTATTATATGCCTTGTTAGATGGCTTGAAGTGGATGTCTCTTTTTTCCTGGAAACCTTCCCTCTTGTAGTATTAAGAAATCTTGACGTGGAAAAATGAACAAAAAACCATGCAAATATTTTGCCCCTGATCTAGGCTCTGTATTGCCTTCCCTCCTGAATTTGAAACGAGAGTTGTAGTCTCTTGTAATACTGTAATGTAAATGCTGAATGTGTATTGTAGAGCAGTGAGCTGCAGCAACAAATACCTTAATAGAGATAACTTGCGTTTGTGCAGCATATTTCTGTTCTGGAGAATCTCTCGTGTGCCTGGCCATACTGGAGATGTGATTAATATGGAATTCTTTTGTTAACTGTTGAGCTGCAACTCTGTTTCAAGTTCAGTGCATCAGCTACTTGCATACAAGACAAGAAGTATATTCTTCTATTTTGTTTTTAGTTTTCTTTCCTGGTAAAGATGTAGCGTGAGGAATGCTGTTTCAGCCAATATTACTGACTTTCTGGGCAGGTTTAGTCTCTTGACAATAAAGTGTCAAAAAATGCCAACCAAGAAATAGTACAGATAGAATCTTCTATAGAGTTTTCGTCTTTTGGCAAGGACAACTGGAAAACCTGGCATCTCTTGTTCAGTTTGTTAAGGTGATTTTCATGAATATAAGAACAGCTGCCTCTAGTCATGTGCTTAAGTTACCTATATCAGTGTTAAGTTTATCTCCATTTCTTTCCTAAAGGTATTGTGTCAAGATCTGGAACCCTGACATATGAAGCTGTTCATCAGACAACACAAGTTGGATTGGGGCAGTCTTTCTGCATTGGTAGGTTTCCTCAGAAACAGCCTATTGCACCTAGACTAGTCTGCTTTTTCTTTACAAGAAGAAATCCAAAGTAATTTCTTTTTGCAAGAAATTACTGAATGGCAATTATGTTGAGAAATGAGATCCCTATGTGCTGTGAAGAGTATAACCCTTCTCTATTACCATTTCCACGTCAGATTAATAAAAGCCTAAAAAACGTCTTTGAATGGAGAACTGCCAGCAAATATGATGTCAATTTGGAAACAAATTTTCCCAAGAAATGTAATATTATAAAGGGATAGGGCATTCTTAGGCATTTAATTGGATATGTTAAGTAAATCCAGTTTTCTTACAGCAAAATTCTGGAGCTTGGGTCTTGTCTTATACACAGCCTCTATATAAGGCATAATATTTTGCTTATGGTTTGAAAGGCCATTATTCAGATATCAAAGCTTTCTGTAAATTTCGGGGGTGATATTTGTACTAGGAATTTGGCACTCTGACTTGGGAAGAACCTTTGGAGCTGCTGTCTTATGAGCCTTTGGGAATATTTCTCATGCTGAAATTTACTTTGAAACTTTTATCATAACTGCAATGTCATTATCTTGAAGGTTTTTTTTTTGTTGTTGTTTTAATTTTTTTTCAGGGATCGGAGGTGATCCCTTCAATGGAACTAATTTTATTGACTGCCTTGATGTCTTCCTGAAGGATCCTCATACTGAGGGGATCATATTGATTGGGGAAATTGGAGGAAATGCTGAAGAAGATGCCGCAGCATTTTTGAAAGAAAATAATACTGTAAGTCTTAAACAGCTTGCTTCCAGATACCTTGGTAGTTAGCCAACTTCTTTTGCCAGTTAGCCATCTTCTTTTGCCATATCAAGGAAAACTCAGTTCAATCTCTAATATCTTATTTACAAAAAAACCCAAACATTCATACTTTTATTAAAGAGAAAGAGTTGAAATTAGGAGCTTTATTCAGATTAAAACTAACTGGAGAGCAGTGTCAACTTTAGGTTTTCAGTCCTGTAATAATATTTATAGTGAACATTCTGGTTTTTTATAATACACGTGGCTCTGTAGAGAGAGGTTTTAAAGTTTTCGAGTGCTTCTGGTTTATGATGATTATCAGGAGAGAAAGTATTCCACACTCTTCAGAGTCTTGGTTCCATGTTGTCTGAGGTTTCTAGCTGTTCAATATCTTTGCCTGGCTAGTTGATACTGAAAAAAAAAAAAAAAATACCATCTGGAATTGCTTTTGATCTCACCCTCTACCACATAACAGAGTATCTTTTCTTTCTTTACAGGGTCCAAATGCCAAGCCGGTAGTGTCATTCATAGCTGGTCTGACTGCTCCTCCAGGCAGGCGGATGGGTCATGCTGGAGCGATCATTGCTGGGGGAAAGGGTGGAGCTAAAGAGAAGATAGCAGCTCTTCAGAGTGCTGGTGTTGTTGTCAGCATGTCTCCTGCTCAGCTAGGTAGCACCATCTACAAGGTTCGTTGCTCGAAAATTGGTGTACATACTCATCCAGAGCAAAAAGCTACTTTTGAGGGAATATGAGCTGGGAGTACATCTCCTACCCAGATATTCTGTTGCTCTGAACTTCGTTAAATATAAGAACTCTATTGACGGAACAAGCCGCGGTTATTACTTAGGTAATATGCACACGTAGTTTTATGTGATGTTGCCTTCATAGAAAAGTAAAGATAGCAAAATAGAGAAGAGATTACATTTTCCTTTCAAGTGTAGCAACTTGTTGAATTGTGTTTACTGGATGCAAAGAACCTGAATTAATTTAAAATATGAAAACATTCTTTGAAAGTAGGGTGTTTGAGGAAGGAGAGCCTTGGCATATAGGTCTATCTATTTTAAGTACTAATTCAGAATTATGGTTGAATGCATACAGCTGAAAAATTTGTGTATGGAGTAGGATTATTTGCATTTTTCTAAATTCATATCCAAAAAAAGGCATTGCTTCACAGCTAGACGAAATGCATAATGTAGCTGTGCTAGATATGTTTGTTTTCCTGTGGTGACTGTAGCATCTTCACAGGCTGCTGTGGGATTCTTCCCTTCTTCTGTTGTGTTTTTTTTTCCTTTACTAAAATGAAAATCTTTCTTGTTGCTTCCCTGGCTTGAGTCCTTTACTGTAAGGATTCTGCTGTGGTTCTTACGCAGAATTAGTGTTTTTCAAGCCTGTTATGCTCTAGCTGAGAGCAAATGGTTCCTTGACAATCTGAGTGCAATGCACTGGCTGCCGCCTAGCACTACTGGTTTTTCATAGCTGGTTTGTTAATGTGAAGTGGGAGAATACTTACTCTCCTTTCCACTAACTTGCACACATTATGCATTTTATATTTTAATTTTTAATTCCGGTTTTTAATTCCTAAAATCAGATTTGCTAAGATAAATACAAAGTAATTTAGAATAAAATAGTAATAGAAGCATTTTCTTTTTTTTTGCTACTGGTAATGTCTGTTGCTATTTGCAGGAGTTTGAGAAAAGGAAACTGCTGTAAGAGAAGACACTTCGGAATACTGTCTCCAAAACATCCGTGCAGCACCTGGCCTCCGCTTATCTTTTGTCTGCTAATCTTCAGTTGCCGAAATGACTGACACTGGTCTATGAATTTGAAGTAGAAGCCATAAACCTCCTGGCTAAACCTATTTTGGTGTCTCCTTGGTTCAGACATTATCACCTCATTGTAAATCACATCAAATTAATAAATCTACTACTAAATCTGATTCATCTTTTGAATTCCTGAAGCAGAGCTGTTTCTTCAGTCATCGTAAACAAAATAATCTTTTGTAACTTAAGCACTGCCCAATTTTAAGGTGAAGTTGCTTATAGAGATGCTTTTAAGGATCAAGGCACTGACTTTATGCACATGTCACACTTCACTTTATTTTTAAAAAATCCAGTCGTACTTGTTTGTTGCTGGCAAGTATGTTTGTTTGAACAATAGGCCAAAGTTTCCGTCCATTAAACCAAAGCTGGTGGATCTGAAGGGTTTGCTTGTTGATCCACATAGCTGGATATGCCTGAAGTCCAGACTTTCTTTTCAAGGCTGATGAGCTGTGCACAGTGTGGTCCTCTACTGGCAAGGAATTCTGTTTGTTGTGTGGAGAGAAGGAATTTTTATTCACAAAAATGAATCTGATTTCCCATGCAAGTATATATTCAAAATTGTCTGTAACTATGAAAATGATTTGGTCTTTAGCTTGCATTACCTTGATTTCCTCTTTATCTTAACTAGAATTGCATTGCTTGTGTGTTCTGAAATCCTAATAACGTTGGGACATAATGGAGGAGAATTATTATTCTCTGGAAAGGAATGTAATAAGGTAACTTTTTTGTTAACCACTCCCAGCACTGTAATGGAAAGCCCTTTTTTTAGTTTGGAAAGAGCCCAAGCACTGTGCCTATAAATGATTGTTACAAGTTTTTATCAGGATGGACTAAAACCAAGATTGCTTTCTTTATATAGAGGACTGAAAGTTCGTGTAACCTGGCACTTATCTAAAGCTAACCTTGTGTTCCATAAAGGTGCTGTTACAAAAACTCGTGTCGTTATTTGTTGAAAACTGTTCTTAGTTTTCTTGCTCAAATGCCTGTGGAATTTCTCTTCCTTGTGCAAGCAGTAGGCAGGTATCTTGATACTGACATTAACGGTTCCTAGAGCTAAGCCCTGATGAAGTGCATAAAAGGACAGGTCCTATCTCTGCTGCACTGAATGTGTATTAATACGCTTCCTATATGATCAGGCATCAGTCAGATGATATAGGGCTTAGGACACAGAGACCAGATGCTGTATTATTCACGTTGGTATGATTTACTAAAATAATCCTGACATCCTGTAACTAGATGGCTGAAAGCAGTATTGAGTGGTAAATCATTGGATAAAGGCTATGACAACAGATAGGAATTTTCTTACGAGATCTACTCAGTTTTCTGGTGGTGCCTGATTTAATCTGGAGCAAAAACACCAAACGGTGCCCTTTAACTAGAGAAATACCGGTGCTAACATGTCTCAGTCTGTGTTAGAGCGCAATTCTTCACCAGCGAGTGTCAGGATATTGCAGCCTGTCTTCTTATGAGCCTGCTAATCAAAGTAACTCATTGTAGTGGTAGGCTTCTCCGCAACACGTCTTTTGGGATAGGTAACGCTTCTTGATGAACTATCTGAATTTTCATCATTGCTACCAGTGTTATAACAGATGATCTTCGGGACAATTGAGGTGTAGTAAGTTTCCTGCTAGGGAATTGCTCTATGGAAGCTCTTTTAGAGGCAGCAGCTCTCTTAGAAGTCGGCTGTAAACTCCAGTGACCATTGTTCCCTGAGAAATTGTTTCCTTGTATCTTGAAATTTGAGGATGGGTTTAAAAATGCGACCTTGATTCTAATGTTTGTAGCAGTCATCTGGTGCTGCATGGTAGCAGCTGCCTGGTTCTGTTCAAGCCTGGGGAAGCAGTCTATGCTAGCCTGGAACTGAGCATCACCCAAGGGTGGGGAAGAAACCTGATCTTGTCTTGTAGAAAGGCTTCATTTTCGCAGTTTTCTCTTGCTGCCTAAAAATGTGTGCTTGACAAATACCATCAGAGCCTCTTACATTGCCCATGACAATGTCTCTTTGGAAAACATATTCACATCTGTTTAATACCGTATGTACTTGTGAATAAATATTTTGAGTAATCTGATCTGGAAAATCGTTCATTTACTTTTTTTTTTTTTAAGCCAAAAGTTAAATTAGTGTTGAGCCTTAAACCTGTTGCTACTTTATAACCTAGTAAGTAGTTTTTATGTGGAAGAGAAACATTGCTGATGTTACTGTTTGAGTTCTCCTTAAGATTTGTGAAACAGCCCTTTTTTTTCCTTGATCTAGACTTGGCAATGATGTCTGATGTCTGTCCGTAAATCACTTGCATTTTTGAGAGATAAATTCTGGATGTTCATTTTGGTCAGGGGAATTCATTGCCACACTGATTTTCTTGAACAAAGAGGATGTAGATCCACTACATGCTTTTTTTTCTCATACTGGGCAATAATTGTCTTTGATACCTAATACTCTGACTAGTAGATGCTCATTGAGTTTGATGTTGATTTTTTTCTTTAAGGTTGATTAGAGAGGCCTGTTACACCTAATGAATATTATGCCTTTTTGTGTTTTTTAGAATGTATTCATATGTGATTTTTTTTTTCTGTGTTTGTGCCATTTTCCAGGATGTATGTTTTGTTATGTAATATTTTGGGGGAAGAGGGTGGTAAGTTACTCTCTGTACCTTTGTACTTAAAATGATGCTCTGATGTGACATTCTTGCAAGGGGACTTCGTAAGATTCACTTTATTGAAGCTGATCAATGAAAACAACAAAACATTGATGCCAGTTCATTTGCTCAGATAAGGTCTCCTTTGTGCGCTGGAGGTGGAGAGGGAAGGAGAGGCTGCTGAAAGATGGCCAGGTCTGTACTCCAGTGTCAAGATGTTCTTAAAACTGTGTGGGATTATTGAGATGATTAGTGGTGGGTTTCTTATTAGCTATTGTCATAGTTTCTGAGGTTCACCACAGTTGTTCAGATTGTCCCTTTTTTTTGGATGTGCTACTTTATCTTCTCGGTTAACTGCTTCCTTTTGTGATGGAGTGAAATTCCACAAGGCCCTAGCAAAGCGCTAATTAAAATTGGTGGGCTGCTGTATTGAGATGATCTAGGTGGTTTTGGCCGAATTGAAAATGCAACTTAATTCTTTGCAGATCAAGCAACAGATTTCAACCTTTAAGGTGAGGAGGGAAGTGTTCACTAATGGGCTTTGCTGGTGACAAGTGGATTAGAGGCTGCGCTCTTTCAGAAGGCTGCTAATTAGGCAGAGTGAAAGTACCTACACAGTCATGTTGTCCTTCAGCCTGGGACGGTCACTGAGCTCCACTCAGATCCAGACACTGGTCCCTGGCAGGTCCAGTGATTGAATCCCCTGGTGGCAGCCAAGGCAGGGGTGGGGGCAGAGCAAATTGGGCCAGAAAATACCAGGATCTGAGCCCTGAGAGTCACAATATTGGTTTCAAGAAGAACCTCAGGGATAAATTCTAGATTTTAATTTTGAAGATGTTTGTAAATGAAGATATTCATCCTTTCATTCATTTCAAACATCGGCTTCTGTGCTGATGGCTTCAAAGCGGTAGCCAAATTGTGACACCCAAAGAGTAAGCTCTTAATTGTGTTGAAGCTGGAATTAGGTATTACCTGCACTAACATTATCATTTGCTCAGTTTACCGTCACCCTTGCGCTCCCTTTCCCACTGCCTGTCACTGGTCAGGATTAAAACTTTTCATAAGAGGGACTATGTGCAAGTCTGATAATATGGGCAGGAGCCTGCTGGTCGTTTCCAAAGGTGGCAATAGGAGGAGTTGTGCTGCTGTGGACAGCTGGCAGGCAGCAGATTCATAGAATCACAGAGTAGTTTGGTTGGAAGGAACCTTACAGACCATCTCCTTCCAACTCCACTGCCCTGAGCAGGGACACCTTCCACCAGACCAGATTGCTCAAAGCCCACTCCAACTTTGCCTTGAACACTTCCAGGGATGGGGCTTCCACAGCTTCTCTGCACAACCTATTCCAGGGCCTCACCACCCTCACCATGAAGGATTCCTTCCTAATACCTCATTTAAATCTTCTCTCTCCCAGTTTAAAGCCATTGCCCCTTGTCCTATCACTCCATACCCTTGTAAAAAGTCCCTCCCCAGCTTTCTTGTAGGCCCCTTTAGGTACTGGAAGGCTGCTCTGAGGTCTCCCTGGAGCCTTCTCCAGGCTGAACAACCCCAACTCTCTCAGCCTGTCCTCACAGCAGAGGTGCTCCAGCCCCAGATCAAGGTGTTTCACAGAGCTGGTTGTTCCTCCTGGAGCATCTGTAGAGGGCTGTGCGTGCTGAGTCAGCCTCTGGTGTTGTGGTGACTGGAAATAGCTGGTGAAGAAGGGAGAGTCTAGGTTTGACGTTTTCCACAGAACCTGTAACACTAAATCAACCAAGAAAGTCTCTTGGGCATCAACTCGCAGTACCCTACTAGCAATTAACTGGGATTTATGCTGCATGTCGTTGTCCATATTTTTAAATAATTAGTTCTTCTGAATTGTTTAATGAGGGGTTAAACTGTTTTTTGGTCAGAGAGACATCCTGGTGCTGGGTGGTACATTGGTCCCCTGTAGCCGAGGTGTGTGAGTTGCTGTAGGCAGCAGCACATACGGGAACTGCTGTTGAACTTGCATCTAACCTGTGCTTGGTGCAGCCCAAAGCGCTGAGGACCCTTCACAGAGAGCTGGTCTAGATGGGTGGTAGTGGAAGTTGAGTAAAGTAATTAATGATTAAGAGTAAGTAATGCACTATTCCCAATTAATAGCAACGGCTCATCTGCCTCTCTTCCTCCTTTCCTGCCTGGTCTGTATGATGAAGCATGGGAGCCCTGTGGCTGAATATGTTATGGAGGTGATTCGTACAGGAATTAAAACCTGAGAGGTACCATTTTTAGGAAGAGGTTATTTTGATATATCCCCTTTCCTTGTATCTGTGAGAATATGGTTTAGTGTTGAATTGATCTAGAATCAAAGTCTACAACTTTGGAAAATTTCTTGACTCAGAAATACTGAAACACTTTCAATTTTCAAGGGGAAATTGGCAATTTTTTCCATTTGAATTTGAGATGCAAATGGGATATTTCCCTAGAAGTGGAAATCTGAGAGTTTTGCTCCAGTTAAAAACC